CTGTATTTTTTTATATAATATAATAAAGTTTTTATTAAAAAAACAATTACACACAAAAAACTGTAAAAACACACAGAATAGGAGGGGATAAAATTAATGAGGGAGTCATTGTAAAATCTCCCCGGTCCCCTGGTATTTTTTTTATATATAACTCAAGGCAGCAAACATACCTAATACTCCTGCATCCTATTTTTCCCCACAATAACAACCCTGTGGGGTGGGCTGGGCTGGGGTGGCCTGGGGTGGGCTGAGAGAGAGGACTGGCCCTAAGTCACCCAACTGGCTTTCATGCCTCCTAGAACTCAGTCTCCTGGTTTCCAGGCCACTGACACTGATGCTGCTTTTTTCCTCTTCCATTCTGGTCCCTCTCTCCTTTTGTGTCATGACTTTCACATGACCAGCTTGCAGGGTTTCTACCACTGGGAAAGACTTTTTGGCTGGCGGGCAGGCCTAAAATTATTTCAAATGAGAAAACAGTTACCAAGTGATCTAATTCACTGTTTACCTATGTAACATAGTTACAGAGTTCACCTATGTTGTTTGCAGGATACTCTTTCATTTCATTTTCCTTCACTGTCCTCACAAAGAATGGGTTCAGAAAAAGTGTGGAGCCACAAATTAGGTAACTGGATTTTAGCCTCAGAAGTTTGGCCAAGTTCATAGTGTTATGTGATAGCAGAGCATTGGAATAATTAATTGAACATATCATAGTTAAGACAGTCCTAGTGAGTTGGTCACAAAAACACAACATTCCACTCACTTTGGAATCCACATTTTTAATGTTCTTGCTAGCCTTGCTGCTTAGGAATGGAACTTCCATGTACAGGTGGAGCACCTCTGAGAACTAGACACTGGTACCTGCTGTGCATTAGCTGGGTACTACAAGAAGAAAAATGCTGTGGATGAATACAGCATTCTCACCCAGAGGGACTTTTTAAAAAAGAATCATACAAAAATGAATGTTAGAAATTGAGTTTCCTTGTCTAGAAGCAGTAGCATACCATTCATTACTTGTAGTTGGAGCCAAACGCTGTTGGAAAAAACTCTGGGTTTTGTCCTTGTTTGTGAACTCCCCAGAAACATCTGGTGGACTTCTATAGGAAATCGGGGGCCATCAGAGAGTCTTTCTGACTGACTGAACAAGGTTCTGAAAATCTGTGCTCAAGAGTTTGGAGAAGAGAGTAATTGTTTCAAGCCCCACCCAAAATATAATTCTATAATCAACATTATTAGATGAATCACTATTTTTCATTGAAGTCATACAGGTAGTCCTCGGGTTATAATGGCAGTTGGGACTGGAATTTCCATTGCTAAGCGATGCAGTTGTAAAGCACAATGTCATGTGATTGCATCGCTTAACAACAGCAATTCCAGCAGTCCCAGTTACCGTCGTAACCCCAGGATGTGCAGGTCATTAAGCAGGAAGAGATGGGAGTCCCAGGCAAGGAGTGTGTGGGGGCGCACAGGTGCCAAGAGAGGGGTGGGAGGGTGCTGTGGGCAAGCTGGCAGGGGCCATGGGCAGGCTATAGGCAGTATGGGGGGCTGGCAGGGGCCGCAGGCAGATGAGGGAGTGCTGTGGGCGCACGCTATGAAGTGCGGACAGGCAGGGGGTGTTATGGAGTATGAGATCCCTGGGATCTCATACTCTGTAGTGGGACTCCTTAGGACAAAAAGTGTCAGGAGCAACATGGCTGGCTGGGGAATTCTGGGAGTTGAAGTCCACTCATCTTAAAGTGGCCAAGTATAGACAACATTGGCTTACGGGAAGCCAGTAGGGAAGGTTGCAAATGGCAATCACATAACTGCGGGATGCTGCAACTGTTGGAAATGCGAGCCGATTGCCAAGCACCCAAATTGCGATCATGTGACCACAGGGGTGCTGCAATGGCCAGAACTTCAAGGACCGGTCATAAGTTCCCCTTATTCAGTGCCATTGTAACTTGGTCACAACTCAAGGACTATCTGTACCACTGTTCAATTCAATGTAATCCCTGTAATTATTTCAGTATTTATTTGTAGATACACCTGTTTTATGCTAGAGGGCTAACAAAACTGTGACAAGGACACTTTCATGTCAACCCTTCTTCAAGAAGCTTAAAAATCTGTCTTATTCAAAGTCATCATACAACTCATTAAGCAGTAAAATGGTTTGTCTCACCATGTTGCGTGAATCCATCCCCTGTGTCTTGTAATTCATAGGCTTTGTTTAGTGTGTTATGTGAATCTAACTAATTGTAGCTTATTAAATAAACCATGATTAAGCAAGCCATCACCAGCACAGTGTGATTCATACAGGACCCCCTTCACAGACAAACTCCAAACGGCTGCTAAGTTTCAGCAACAATGCAGATCTATTGATTTGGCAACACATTCACAGTGCTGTGCAAATGCATTAGGATCAGCTTTGTTTAGGATGTGTAGCAGATGGCTGAACCTGTAGGGTGGAAGGTTGAAGTCTCAAAACTCTTCTTTCCAAAACCCGCTTAGTCTTCACACCCAGCCTCCCCTCCTGCTTTGGGGTAGTGACTTGATAGTTCCTGCTGCCACCCCCTATCTCCCAGGGAGTGTGCCTTACCTGACATTCACCTCCTAACTCATGTGTGAAAAAGCAGAACTGAAATAATTTCTATAATATGATATCTTGGCCATATAGCATAGAGGTGTGGTCTAGAGGATTCAGGTCTTTCCTCCTTAGGAGATAGACCAATTTCATAATGAAGGTCAAACTATTTTTTTAAAAAAGACAAAATGTTCAACCCCTTTAAATATTGTTAACTATTAAAAATGCAAACATTCACTGTTGAAAAAAGATAAATTATATAATAGTACAGCTGGCAACTTAAATAAAAAAGATGTTACACAAAAGAAAATTTCAGTGCACTGATCAAACTACAAATTGGTGCTGCTCTGCACCAAATGAATGTTTACTGCCTCAAAGCCTCTATTAAAAGAAAGAGAGAGATGGGATAGAAAATTCCAGATTAATATATGGATTACCAAGAAGAATCTATAGAATATTATAACGTCATGAATACAGTCTGAAGAATGGGTGAACACTAAAGTTTAAACACTCTGTAACTTGTACAACAAAATTCAATGCAAATTTCTGTCAGATGCTTCACCTATTTTTACAGAAATACAGTAGTAATTTTCTGAAGCAAAGGTTCTGCAGCTTTTACCTGGACTTTCTCCAGATTCCTGCAAATTCTAGATTTTAATCAGAGGCCAGGCAGAACGACAGAACTGTCCCCAGTTCTGCCTTTTGTGATGAAAGGATGAAATATTTTCTGTCTCCTTTAGAAAGAGAGGGTGGGGTATGTGGCTATATGACAAAGAGCATATTTCATGGGATCATAGGATTTGGAAGGGACCTTGGAGGTCTTCTAGTCCAACCCCCCACCCCAGGCAGGTATCTTCAGACCACCCCAGACAAATGGTGGTTCAACCTTTGAAAACCTGAGTGATGGACAAAAACAGAGCCCCAGAGGATTCTGCTTAAAAACAAGAGAAGGAATTGGCCTGCTTGAGGGGAAACCCTAAAATTTGCTGGAAAAGGACAAAACTTGTGTGCTACAATACTGAGGACCATTCCAGTGGAAAAAGAATACAACTTTTTAAATCCCACTATTATTTCTACTTTGACTGACAGCAGGACATCCAGGACTAACAGATATCCCCCCAATCCTTCTGAACTGTTGATGTCACTTTGTATGCAAAACTAAGGTATACTCTCAAACCCAATTAACTGATAATGAAGTAAAAGCACAAATGTAATATGTTATACAGTAACACAGTGAGATCACACTTTTTTTTTTTTCAAGGCC